TATTTAAAGGTCATCAATTGCTTTAGCAAGAACAACTTGTTGTTCCCGATTTTTAAAGCATAAAAAGTCTCTAGCTTTTCCCGTAATGATCTCGCATATGTCCCATTCACGATATGGTTGCGAACATTATCTTCAACCAATTGTCGTATAAATCCACATACTTGTTGGTGCTCAAAATCCCAATCTTCATCATATATACTCTCGGGTTTATGAGCTGCAAAAACGGTTAGATGCATCTTCTTCACGGACAACAAGTCTTTCATCTTGCTTCTCCAAACATTATAATTGCTCCCATTTAAACATACCATCTTGCTCATATATGCCTCTATTCTGTAAAAATATGGATAAATAACCAAGTCTCTGATACCACTACTATGTTGAGGAAGAGGCAAACCCGAAAATAAAGAAGAAAAAGAACACCAAATTATAACCTGAAAAACCATTCAATCGAAGGTAAAAACTACGGGATCACAAAGATCCAAAAAACTCCACTATAATAAGAGGATTACAAAAGTTCTTTAAATTGGCTACACAACAAGTGCCAAACATGGAGCAACAATAGCAACAAGAGCAACGACAAATCAATTGAAGAAAGAGTAGAAGCCATAAAACTAGAGTTGTTGTTCGGGGCTCGAAATCAGATTCTACAGGCCTCCAAATTCGATCTCTACCGTTCAAATCAAAGATCAAGATGTTATGAACACTCAGTCAAAATTTCCACCCGATCCAACGGTTAGCAAATTGAAAAACATGATTTCAAATTGGTTGGTCGGAATAAAAATTTGCAGCAAAACAAATATTTTTCTTCTCTCTTCTCTCTTGATGAAAGCTCTCTCGAAAACTACTCTTATGTGCTTGAGTCTTTCAAAGACTTGTACCAATGAGCATAGAATAATTCTCCAAGGTTGTCCTAGTTATAGATAATGAGTGGTGCTTTCTCTTAAAGCCAAAACTAACTCTAAATAGGAATAAAAATCGAATCCAATTCCGAATAGGAATGAGAACCAAAAGAGAATAGGATTAGGTCATTGGGCCTTTTGTTGGAAAACATGTTCATATTCCCAACACTTCCGCAGCTCGAACCCACGACCTATATGTCACAAGGAGATAACTTTACTATTGCTCAAAGGCTCATTTGTCATATGTCCTATCTGATAAAAAAATCTAAAGTCACCATCGCTAAACGTTAAATCAGATATTAAATATTCCATTATGAATAAATCCAAAACATTGGATCTAGTAAATTAATAGTAATCATGCTACGCGAAATAGGCGTAATTTTGTTTCGAGAGTCAATTACTCAAATAATCACTTAACTAGCTGAAATTACTTAGTAAAGTCATTTTTCTTTTGTCTTTAACGAAAAAGTGACTTAACCATTTATATAGCACTTAGAAAATCTCTCAACTAGATTTTTCAAACTTTCGGTGACTAACTACCTAGTTTACCCTCTAAAATATCAACCTTTATCTTTTTGTAATTTCTTTTCAATATTATAATTTTTTGCTCTTTTTACTTTATATTATGGACTTACCTATAGAATAAATATTTTTTATATAAAGTACATAAGAAAATCAGGCATATATAATGTTGGAACAAAATAATTGTTGAGTAAAATTTTCAAGCATATATAAAGTATATTATAAATATACCTCTATATTAATATATATTTTTGTCATACATGGAATATATCCTTTAAAAGATTTTAGTCTCTTTCACTCTCAATCGTGTAAATAAATTTTTAATTTTCTATTATTATTATCGAAACTATTCATACGAACAAATCATTCTACTTATTAAATATTTTACTTTTGTCATTATTTTATTCATCAATTTCATGTGCTTAAACTCTTATTTATAATTCAAATATAATTTTTAACATAATAACAATAACAAGAAACTCAGTATAATTTCACAAGTGGGGTATGAGGAGGGTAGTGTATATGCAACTTACTCCTATCTTAATAAGGTAAAGAGGCTGTTTTCGATAGACCTTCAGTTTAAGAAAAATAAATGATAAAAAAGTAATAGCAACAGATAGTAATAACATCAAGATAGTAGTAAAACAATTAAAGCGAAAGAAACAACAGATAATAATAGAAATCTACGAATAAGAAAATACAAGACTACACTAATATTGTTGGTACTAAAAAGAAAAGTGCTTGTCTATCTATTAGTCCTCTTCCCTTTCTTGACCTCCGCACCCTTTTATAAAGGATCTTGTCCTCGGTAAGCTGAAGCATCGCCATATCTTGCCTAATCACCTCTCTCCAATAGTTCTTTGGCCTATCTCTACCCCTCCTCGGACCTACCAAGACCAACCTCTCACACCTCCTTACTGGTGTATCTGCATATCTCCGCTTCACATATCCGAACCATCTAAGCTTTGCTTCCCGCATATTGTCCTCCACGGGAGGCGACTTTCACCTTGTCCTGAATATCTTTATTTTTAATCTTATCTGTCCTGGTATGCCCGCACATCCATCTCAGCATTTTTATTTCTGCTACTTTCATGTTCTGGACTAGGAGTTCTTAACTGGCCAACACTTCGCCACATATAACATAGTCGGTCTAACCACCACTATTTCCTTTAAGTTTAGATTGTACATTCTTATCAAATAAAATACCGGATGCAAGCCTTTATTGCATCCACCCAGCTCCAATACGATGTATGACATCCTCGTCAATCTCTCCATTTTCGTGAATTACGGACTCAAGATACATGAAACTATCTCTCCTGGGGATGACTAGTGTATCAAGCCTCACGTTTATGTCCGCTTCATGGGACATGTCACTGGACTTACACTCCAAGTACTCTGTCTTTGTCCTACTCAACTTGAAACCTTTAGACCGTAGGGTTTGTTTCTAATCTCTAGCTTTACATTAACACTGCCTCGCATCTCGTCAATCAAAATTATTTCGTCCGCAAATAAGATTCCATGGCACAATTTTTTAGATAATGTGATTTAAAAAATATTACTCATCGAAACAAGGTACGAGCGCAACAGGCGTGTGTTAAGACTAGTTAGATTATAGTTTAAATAAAAGGTGAAGAGATTTGATTAGTTGTAGTAGCATTTGACAGATCGAGCCAATTTTATCATAAAATTAATTGTCCAATCATAATTTATCCGATCCATAGTTTAAATGGCTGTGCATTAACCCCAAATATATTCTCTTATAAACCGTTATAAATAGAATTGTATTTAAGGTGAATGTCTATCTTTTAAAGAGTTTTTAGAGTTTGTTACTTTGTGACTAAGTCATTTTTTCCCAATAAATAGAAGAGTTTTATCCCACTGTAATTTATCCCAAATTAATAAGATTCTCTCTCTACTTTTCTCTGCAATACTCTTATTATTTTATTATTTTATAACACGTTATCAACACGAGTCTCTAATTTTTTATTGAAATTTAGCCTATATTAATACTCGTCCGTGAGAGCTTGATGGTACCGTGGCTTACAGAAATCAAGGTATTATCTCTCTTATCCATTATTGTATATTGGTATCATTATTTATGATGGTTGTTGCAATTAGGGGTGTTCGTCGGTCGGTACGGTACGGCATTTAGATATATTTCGGTTCGGTATTTTCGATATTCGGGTTCTTAAAATGCTATACCAATACCGTACCTAATTAAATTCGGTATGGTTCGATTTTTCTCCTTTCAGTTTTGGTTTATTCTGTTCGATAACTTCGGTTTATTCGATTTGAATACTAACTAGTGCATAGAGTCATAGACAGTAATAGTCTTAATTAAAGTACTCGAAAACTAAAAGTGCTAGTTGACAAAAGTTTTGTCCAAAACCAGCAAATACCAACCCAAGGATAGTAAACTATACATAAAAGAATAAATTTGATCACTAGAAATGTCTTGTTACTTGCTTAGAGTTAATTGAAGAACTTAGAGAATAAAGGAAAGTAAAATTTTAGATTTCTTATATTTATGTTATAACTAATAATTGTGTATTGTGTAATATAATATATATTTCGGTACAATATCGGTATTTCGGTATTTTATTTTAAAATACCAAATACCATACCTAATACCAATTTTTTTTTAAACTTAAACCAAATACCATACCGAATACCAAATACCAAAATTTTCGATTTCGGTACGATAATTCGGTATTTACCAAATTATGCACAGCCCTAGTTGCAATGAAAAAATATGATAAACTCTTTTCGCGGAGGAGAAGGTTCATTGTCTGTGATTAGGTATATTTTCAATCCCTCATGAGTTTTGTGGCTTATATGACTTAACTTATATGACAATTTCTGATGGATTTAAATCGCTTAAAGCATATACATTTTTTGGTTCTGAAGTACCACATGCTAAGTGCAATTTGTGCATATATATATCTTGCTACATCTATAAGCATGATAATGTGATAGCGGGAATTTTTACCTGTATGGAGATATTGAAAAGGTCATTCCACAACATTATATGAAGATATTACATATCTATCAAGAATGATGATTTCAAGGTGCAACATATTTATTCAAGTTAATATAGTTAATTTGTTTATCAAATCTCTATCAAGGATCTTTTGAAGATGGTGCACAAGATTAGAATGTGAATGCTCAAAGATGTGAATTAATTGTCTCCTCAGGGGGAGCTAATACGCGTTGTACTCTTTTTTCCTTACAAGGTTTTGTCCCACTGAATTTTCCTTACAAGATTTTTAACAAGGCAATCAAAAGGCGTATTGGTAGATATGTATAGTCTTTTTTTTCCATAGAATTGTATTAAGGAGAGTCTATCTTCTAGAGAGTTTTTAAAGTTTGTTACTTTGAGACTAAGTTACTTTTTTCCTAAGCAATAATCTTTTATTTTATTGTTTTATGACACAAACTATATTTATGGTTTTTTTTAAAATTTCGGACAGATGAGTTTTTCTTTCTTTCTTTTGACGTTCTGATCTTTCGGCTGTTACGACAATCGGTCGGTGCTGGTCTGCTGGACAACCCC